AAAAAAAAAATCTTGATATAAACCTTTTGTTATTCCCAGAAAACGATTGATTTTTGGATGATCTTCAATCTCGCGAAGGAGTTTTAACTAAAAAAAAAAAAATGATATAGTAAAATTGATTATTTATATGCACATACCATGCTAATATACTCTATAAAATAATTGCGATTTCCACCTCTTTGACAAAATCATCATTAGATTCATTAAGTTCATTTGAATTTTTACTTATTATAATTTTCAATGCGACCAATCCTATATTAGCCAAATTTGCTTTACTCACTACACCGAAACCTCCTCTACCAATTTCGACAACCTGACTAAATTCATCATATTTAAAATAACGAATATACTTATTCTTTATCTTTTCTTCAATCCATTCTTTTACCGAAGTCATTTTATCGATTAAAGTTATAATAGAAAATTTATTTAATTAAAGAAAAAATTTTTTCCGAGTTATGAATTCTAAGAACATTGCAAATAAGACCGTTAACACAATGCGTTGGAAAAAAAAAAATTTCAATAATTATGCATGTTGCCAATCCACTACTACATATACTGCATTGATCAACAGTTAATTTAAACCCCTAGTTTCAATATACTATATTTGTAAATCAATTACATACGGGAATAGTTAGAATAGATCGGGTTATCCGTTTAGGTTTTAGCTTAGTTTTCTGTTTTATTTTTCTTGTGTGACTACACGTACTTGTATCTGTCTCTTATACACATCTAGATGTGTATAAGAGACAGATCAACTCTGTTTCAATATAAGCATGTTCACCACGAGTACTTCCATATCTTTCAGTTATTTCACCTAATTGATCATTAGTTAATAATTTGCAAGTTGTTAAATCTATACGATCACCGCAGCCAAGTACCATAAAATTAGCTAATAAATAAATGAAGTTAATTATACTATTTTTTTTTTTTTTGAGGACAAACTTATTTCAAACATACTTCCTGCCTGCGCAAGATTCTGTTTTTTGAGATTTTCCATGCAATATACCTGTCTCTTATACCAATATTGGTGTTTTACCGATACCTTATCAATACCATATTGACATCGGAAAAAATTTTATAGTTTCTGCAAAGTAGTTTTAACTCTGTTTGTGTACTTATGATATTTTTTGTATTGATGAATTTAAGTAAATAAGCATTCATGCTGTTTTGCAAGATTATATTTATTTTGTAGATATAATAAAGTTTTTTCTAAATAGAAAGTATCGCTTCTAAAAAAAGAAATTAAAATTGCTGACAGGGGTGAAAAAACATTTATTAAATAAGTCAAAAATGACATTCAAACCTATTATTAACACTTTAATAAGTAAACTTTCAAATGCGTCTACTTCACGTGCTTTTAAAATTATTTTTATTAAATTTCCTTTTTTTTTTTCATAAGAATTTTGTTACAACCACTCATATCATATGATTACACCTTGTAAGCTAAGAATTTTTAATTTTGCCATTTCAGCTAGAATCTTTCTTTTATTTTAAGGTCTGTCAATTTCTTTTTAGATCGGCTTTTCTTCTGTAAAACTTATTTCATGGAAATTTTGCAAGGATAATTTGAAGTCAATATGCTCATCATGGCGGAATTTACCAAAATTTGTCCGTCATGTCAAATTAAATAAATATTTGACAGTATTTTAGTCACCAGATTTCTATTTTAGTCCCAAATTTATTAGTGAACAGTCAAAATGAGCTCTAAAAAATTTTTTTGTACCCCAAATCTTGCGTCTAACCAATACCATTATCTAACTAATTTTTCCAGCGTTAAAAGCGCGTCATTATTTGACATTTTTTAGGAAAAAAGCTTGATGTTTCTGTAAGTCAATTTTAATTCCCGAGGGCGCAGCAGGTTTTTGCCAAATTTCATAAATCCGCCGCAATGTGTAATACTTGAAATTTTTTTTTTTTTTTTGTAAAAAAATGTCATCATTAAGTGTAAAGCAACAGTTGGTATCTAGCCAAATTTCTAAGTAAGAACCTTTAATTTAAAATACTTTTATAATAAATAAAGTGGCAATTGATGAAGTTTTATTATTTTGCTGATTAAAATATATTCCACTTAATATTATTTCATCAAATATAAAAATCAATAAAGCGTGTATTAGTATATTTATCCCACGGTTCCTAGTTAAAATTTGTGATTTTTTTCTTGATATTCTCACGGATGGTGTTTATTTAAAAAGATGGATAAAAAGTCTATCAATATTAGAATAAAAAGTCTATCATTATTAGTCAAAAATAATTATATTAAAGGGCTTTATGGTATGGGATAAATGCGCCGTGAAAATCAGATATTTACAGTTCCTCATGAAATAACTATTACTTAAGCTATAATAAATTTTTTTTTTTTTGATAAAAACGAACAAAATCAAGAAAAGTTGTATAACTTTAATTGGAAGTCTCAAGAATGAAAATAAAAGCATCATGGAAATCTTAGGAATAAGAAAAAATATTCAGATAGTACTTACTACTATATGTGCATTAACGGTTAGAATTATTGCTGTTTTAGTGAAATTTGTGATTGTATTAGCTTTTGATTAAGAGATAATTTTACTTTACTATTAAATTTTAAAACTAAATTTTACGGATTTGCCATGAATGGTATACCCACATACATGTGCATTAAGGACGTCCTGTTGTTCATCATCACATGATCACAATTCTGAGAACTTGAGTTACGAGTCATAGTTCAACTAAATCGGTCAAGTCCAATCCCATTTTCAAACATGGACCGTAAATTTGAAGGACCGTTCCTTGTGGATTGGTCTTCAGACGATTTTTAACAGAATATTTGCTAAAATTTTACAAATCATGCGTTTTGCGACAAACAGTTCTTATCTAGCTTGTTTGAATAGTAGTTAAACTATATTGTTCAACATTTATTTTGTATATTTATTAAAATTTTCATATTTATTATTGATAAAAGTACATTATATAAATTTCTTTCTATTGCTCTTAAAAATTTAAATAAAGTATTTTGACCATCAAGGTTAAATTTAAAAGTAGTTCCATAATTTTGACAGTTTGTATATTCTTTGCCAACAATAATTTCCATTTTTCAAGTCAAACATTCTAATAAGGCCATAGTTCTCCTAAAAGCTCTATGCTAAGAATATCATATAAAAAATCTATGAGTCGTTTTCTTAAGAACTAATGGTATAAAATGATGTGTAACTTTGTAACTTTGAATTTTCAATATTATTCAAGGTAATCCATAAATTACTGCTCCACGTGAAATTGCTACTGTAGGTTGAAAAGGAACTAAAATATTAAATACTCGATGACTAAATTCTTGTTTAATTCTTTTTTGTAAATATTTTGATTCACAGAAATCTCCAACTAAAAAAATTGCAGAAAAAGTCTCATGAACATTATTATCTAACAGCGTTTTTATCAGACTGAGATTGCGTCGAATAACAGGTTCAAATATTGATTTCATAGTTAAAAAATAAATTTCAATAATCCAATCGAGATCTTCGAATTTTTTCCTGATATTATCATCTTTAATGTATCGTTCAATATGTTCAATTTTCAAATCATATATTACAAAGTCTTTTTCATCTCCTGTAAAAGAAATTTTACAATAGTTACAGAATTGTTGAATCAAATATTGCATTTGTCCATTATCTCTAAGCAAATCCATATGTACATCTCCTAGTATCCCTCGTAAATATTCAATCAACTCTGTTTCAATATAAGCATGTTCACCACGAGTACTTCCATATCTTTCAGTTGTTTCACCTAATTGATCATTATTTAATACTTTGCGAGTTGTTAAATCTATGAAACGATCACTGCGACAGCCAAGTACCATAAAATTAGCTAATAAATAAATGAAGTTAATTATACTATTTTTTTTTTTTTTGAGGACAAACTTATTTCAAACATACTTCCTGCCTGCGCAAGATTCTGTTTTTTGAGATTTTCCATGCAATATACTGCAACAGCTTCAGCTGAAGATAGTTAAACACCTCAATTAGAAATTCGAAGAAATAATTATAATATTAGTTAAAAATTGTGAAGTTTCTTACATTCTGTAATAAATTGTAAATTTGTTGAACATTCTTCTTTGATCAATCCTGCATTAAATGTACATATTCTCATAATTGCTTTTGCGTTTTCAGAAAATTCTGCAGGAACGGCAATAACTAGAAGAACATTCTTAAAGTAATCAAACGATGGCCAACGTTCTTTAATAGTATCTTTAATTACCTTAAAGTTTTTTAATATATATAACATAATAGAGGAATTATTGATTAGAATATTTAAAACGGTTTTAAACTTTTCAAGTTCAAAAGATTGCTAAAATTGATATTATATACCTCCCCAATTTCTCTAAGATAATCGGTAATAGCCTTTTTATAATCAACTGGAAGCTTTGGTTTATATTTTTCTGGTATATCGCCTAAATGTAATAAGAACTTTTCTACACGTCCATTTTCTTCGTTGTTTTGTCTTCTATTTCGACGATTTTGTTTTTTCATCATAGCTGGGGCTCCCCATAATTTTACATTATTATATTCGTCATCATATTGAAGAACTGTATTAGTTTTTAATTGATGATATTCACCACCGTGCCATATATCATTTGAACACACATTTCCTTTTTCCTTAACATGGCAATAAGAAAATCCGGAGTAGGTTAATCCAAATTCTAATCCAACCACAATTCGGATATTATTTTCTTCATAATTCTTTTGGTGCTTTTCATTTTGCCTCGAATTTTGATTATCTTATTAATTAAAATTTGGTAATGGTTAGTGTTGAAAATTTGTAAATAAAACATCATTATTATTAATCAATACTAATTAATATATTAAACTTACTTCTTGAATTTAGATTCAGGCGATCAGAAGTGATATAGAAGTCGTCAATATCACTAAATTTCGAATTACTATTGTTATCAACATTGTGTATATGAGGTTGTGAAGATTGTAGATAAAAAGTATTCTCGGTATTTAATTGATTTAAAATCTCATATACTTTTTCAATATCAGGTCTTGATTTTGGTTCGTCATTCCAACATTCTTGATAAAGTTTTTGATACTTTGGAGGTGTACCATCAATTGGATCTTCTCTATCACCATTTTTAATGTAATAGTCAAGTAAATCTCGTGAACAATCAGAAAAAGGAATACGACCACTCGAAATTTCCCATAATAAAACACCTAAACTATAAATATCGGATTTTTTATCTTTTTTATAATTTTTATTCTTAAAACATTGTGGTTCAATATATTCAATCATCCCTTGTCTATTACCCACTGAATTAGTTGTTATTTCTGCCAACTTTTTAGATAATCCAAAATCTGCGATTAATAATTTTCCATTATTCACTAATATATTTTTTGAGTGCTATAAAATGGTTATCAATATGTCAGTATCTATTAAAAATATCATCGAAAAACAAAGCATTATGAAAAAAAAATAATAATAATCTTCTACCAAGTCTCTATGGATTATTTCTTTAGAATGTATAAATTTCAATCCACCAGTAATATCCAATGCCATTTGAATTTTATCATTCCATCTCAAATAAGTAAATTTTTTTTTCAAATAATCTCTTAAATTCCCTTCATTTGCATATTCTAATACCAAAATATAATAATCAGAATCTATTAATTTTAAATATAAATAAGTTAGATTGAACTGTATAAAATAAACTTATTTTTTTTTAAAAAAAAAATCTTGATATAAACCTTTTGTTATTCCCAGAAAACGATTGATTTTTGGATGATCTTCAATCTCGCGAAGGAGTTTTAACTAAAAAAAAAAAAATGATATAGTAAAATTGATTATTTATATGCACATACCAAGCTAATATACTCTATAAAATAATTGCGATTTCCACCTCTTTGACAAAATCATCATTAGATTCATTAAGTTCATTTGAATTTTTACTTATTATAATTTTCAATGCGACCAATCCTATATTAGCCAAATTTGCTTTACTCACTACACCGAAACCTCCTCTACCAATTTCGACAACCTGACTAAATTCATCATATTTAAAATAACGAATATACTTATTCTTTATCTTTTCTTCAATCCATTCTTTTACCGAAGTCATTTTATCGATTAAAGTTATAATAGAAAATTTATTTAATTAAAGAAAAAATTTTTTCCGAGTTATGAATTCTAAGAACATTGCAAATAAGACCGTTAACACAATGCGTTGGAAAAAAAAAAATTTCAATAATTATGCATGTTGCCAATCCACTACTACATATACTGCATTGATCAACAGTTAATTTAAACCCCTAGTTTCAATATACTATATTTGTAAATCAATTACATACGGGAATAGTTAGAATAGATCGGGTTATCCGTTTAGGTTTTAGCTTAGTTTTCTGTTTTATTTTTCTTGTGTGACTACACGTACTTGTATTGATAAATTAACGTAAATAAAGAAAGCATTCATGTTGTTTTGCAAGATTATATTTGTAAATTAATTGTAGATATAATAAAGTTTTTTCTAAATAGAAAGTATCACTTCTAAAAAAAAGAAATTAAAATTGCTGACAGGGTGAAAACATTTATTAAATAAGTCAAAAATGACATTCAAACCTATTACCGTAAAGTCCCGAATATAAGCAACCTTTTTTTGCCTATTTCAGCCAAAATCCTTATAAAAAAAACTATAATATCCCCTTAAAAAAAATATTACAAACTGTAGCTCCGCAATGGTCCTTTATAATGAAAAATGAATCTGACCAAAATCATTATCATTCAGGCCAGGGTGCTCATTTCCCGGAGTTGCTTATATTCGGGACTTTACGGTATTAACACTTTTAATAAGTAAACTTTCAAATGCGCCTACTTCACGTGCTTTTAAAATTATTTTTATTAAATTTCCTTTTTTTTCCATAAGAATTTTTTTACAACCATATCATGTGATTACACCTTGTAAACTAAGAATTTTTAATTTTGCCATTTCAGCTAGAATATTTCTTTTATTTTAAGGTCTGTCAATTTCTTTTTAGATCAGCTTTTCTTCTGTGAAACTTATTTCATGGAAATTTTTAAAGGATAATTTGAAGTCAATATGCTCATCATAGCGGAATTTATGAAATACCCCAAAATTTGTCCGTCATGTCAAATTAAATAAATATTTGACAGTATTTTAGTCACCAAATTTCTATTTAAGTCCCAAATTTATTAGTGAACAGTCAAAATGAGCTCTAAAAAATTTTTTTGTACCCCAAATCTTGCGTCTAACCAATACCATTATCTAACCAATTTTTCCAGTGTTAAAGGCGCGTCATTATTTGACATTTTTTAGGAAAAAAGCTTGATATTTCTGTAAGTCAATTTTAATTCTCGAGAGCGCAGCAGGTTTTTGCCAAATTTCATAAATCCGCGGCAATGTGTAACACCTGAAATTTTTTTTTTTTTTTTGTAAAAAAATGTCATCATTAAGTGTAAAGCAACAGTTGGTATCTAGCTAAATTTCTAAGTAAGAACCTGTAATTTAAAATACTTTTATAATAAATAAAGTGGCAATTGATGAAGTTTTATTATTTGCTGATTAAAATATACTCCACTTAATACTGTTTCATTAAATATAAAAATCAATAAAGTTTAAAGCGTGTATTAGTATATTTATCCACGGTTCCTAGTTAAAATTTGTGATTTTTTCTCACGGGTGGTGTTTATTTAAAAAGATGGGTGAAAAGTCTATCAATATTGGAATAAAAAGTCTATCATTATTAGTTAAAATAAGTATATTAAAGGGCTTTATGATACAGACACCGTGAGATAATCAGTTGTTTCACGGAGATCACTGCGCAGCCGTGAAAATCAGTTCCCCGTGAAATAACTATTATAATAATATTTTTTGATAAAAACGAACAAAATCAAGAAAAGTTGTATAACTTTAATTGGAAGTCTCAAGAATGAAAATAAAAATATCATGGAAATCTTAGGAATAAGAAAAATATTCAGATAATACTACATGTTTTAATTCCATAAATACGTGATGCATTAACGGTTAGAATTATTGCCGTTTTAGTGAAACTTGCGATTTTTGAAAAACATTTGTTTATCTTGTATTAGCTTTTGATTAAGAGATAATTTTATTTTACTATAATTAAATTTTACGGATTTGCCATGAATGGTATACTGTTCATCATCACATGAACACAATTCTGAGAAATTGAGTTACGAGTCGTAGTTCAACTACTGAGTCACGTTACCAAAAATTTAAAATATTAACTGATTATATTTAAAACCATTTAATAAAATAACTAATTCCAAAACTATATTTAAGAACTCTTGAAGAAACAACACATTTCATATTATCATCATTATATTATTTATTCAAATCATTTTTTTATTCAAATCATTTTTTTTCTTTCAAATCATTTTTTTTTTTTTTTACGAGATAAACGATAAAGACTTTATTAAATTTAATTTATAATAAATACATATATTTAGAACAAGCAAGAATTCTATAAATATTCATTGGTCTAATAAGATCTAATGTCTCACTTATAAATATAATGATTTGACTTAATAGACAATCCGTAAATTACTGCTCCACGTGCAATAACTGTCATAGGTTGAGAAGTACCAAAAAATTATTAATTTGTCTACTAAATTCTCGTAAATTTTTGATTCACAAAAATCAACATTACGGGACAGGTTTCATGAATATTATCCAGTTGATCTTTTATTAAGTTGAGAATTTTTTAACACGTTCAAATATTGATTCCATAGTTTCAACATCAATTTCAATTATCCATTTATCATCATCTAAGATTTCCTGATATCTGATATCATCATCAATAACAATATTGTTGTTCTAAAATTGGAACCGTGTCTCGAATATCTAATTCATATAAAATTCTGGATCATCTCCTGTAAATGAATTTTACCATTTTCACAAAATTGTTGTATCAAATATCTCTAAGCAAGTCTATAGGTTCATCTTCAAGTATTTTCATAAATATTTAATAAACTTGACATCAATCTCTCCATTGATTATTGTTTATCAATTTATGAGTTTATTTATTAAATCTACTGTACCACTACCACAGTCAACTATCATGAAATTAATTAATCATACTTTCTGGTTGTGCAAGGTTCTGTCCTTCAAGACTTTTCATGCAATATATCGCAGCAGCCTCAGCTAGATACTTTATAAATGTTTTAAATTAAAAATTTAAAAGGTATTTATAATGATATAAACTGTATGGATTCTTACGTTATGTAATAAATTGTAAATTTGTTGAATAATTTTCTTTAATCAATCCTGCATCAAATGCACATACTCTCATAATTGCTTTCACCTTATCAGAAAACTCTGCAGGAACAGTAATAATCAAAAGAACATTTTCGAAGCAATCAATCTTTGGCCAGCGTAGTTTTTTTATTTACCTTGAACATTAACATTTTTAATATATACAATATATACAACATAATAAGAAGGATTATAAATTATAACTTTAAAAAAGGTTTTAGATTAAAAGATTGCTAAAATTGTAATTATGTAATTATGCAAAAGATTATACCTTTCCGATTTCTCTTGGATAATCAGTAATAGCCTTTTTATAACAAACTGGAAGTTTTGGTTTAAATTCTTCTAATAAATTGTTTAAATGTAATAAAACCAATTCTACGGGTTCGCTACCTTCACTATTATTTTATTTTTTCGCCCCACTTCTTTGCCTTTTAGCTAGAGCTGATGTACTCCATAATTTTACATTATTGTATTCGCCATCATATTGAAGAACTGTATTAGTTTTTAATTAGCCTACTTCCCCGAACCAATTATTATTTGAATATATATTTCTTTCATTGCTAACATGGCAATAAGAAAATCTGAAGTATTTTATTCCAAAATTTAATCTAACCACAACGAGATATAATGCAGGTAATTAAAGCCTGTAAAGTATTATCTTCTTCTGTGGGTTTTTGTACATTTGAGACAAGCTTCGACATTTGATTATCTTATTAATTAAATTGAGTTCGATAACGGTAATGGTTAGTGTTGAAAGTATAATAAAATATTATCGCTGTTTTCAGAATTCTGCTACCCATGCAAATTACTTAATTATTAGATTAGAGGATGATTACTGGACAGAAATCAGGCAATTTGTTCCTGTATTTATAATCACCCAGTAATCACGATATATACAGAAATCTGAAAACTACAATATAGTGTTTGTATCTGGATACTATCCGGATAAACAAATCTGCCTCCGTTAAGAATTTTCAAATTTGGTTATCTGATAAAATATTTTTTACAAACCTGAATGACTAACAGTCATTAGTGAGTTTGTATCCAGATAAAATCTGTGAACCTAATATCCAAAATTTGATGATAGTATCCTAATTTGTAAATATATTTAAGAAAATAAATTTTTTTCATAAACATTAGTTATATAAATTGTGTTCAAGATAAATTAACAAAGTATATTTATTTTTAAAAAAATTATACCCCAGAACAGGATAAATTTGCTCATTTTATTACTTTATAATTCATGTAGTGAAATATTGGATATCTAATATTACTTTTGAATTTAGCCCAGATTCCAGATATCTGATTTTGAAGTTATCTGTTAAATCCAGATAAACGGATAATTTATCTGGCATTCCGGATAATATCCAGATAGCTGCACTATCTGATATCCGATGGATATCAAGATAATTCCGGCCAGAATTATTTTCGTAACAATGATCATTTCCTTTTTGGGACGTCTAAAGCGGAGTAGTCCCGTGATATTTGACATTATATGATTGGATAAATTTTCTTATAAACTAAAATTAATATGAACGTATTTTAGCCCGCTCTGCAAATTTATTTGGTGAAAAAAAAGTGAATTTTAAATATTATTTTGACCTTACACATGAATAAACTTTGCTAATCATATTAAATATCCAAAAAATGGTTAGATTAATTTTAATAAAATGGCTACATTTTTCTCTCACTAATCACTTGAGCATTAAACTTGGTTTTTCTCACTCAAGTGATTGTAGAGAGCCTTCCTAAGGATTCTTTTAAAACTTGAATGAACCTTTAACTCCTAAGATAATTTTACTTTTGTAATACTTTTTTTCCCACTGAGTTCCTAAAAGTTGTAACAGTTACATACTGGGGTGGCTGGACTTTGAACTCTGTACTAGTATGAAGTTTTCCTATTGGTTTCTTTATTATTAGAAGCATTGTAAAAGTCTCTCTATGAAGTACAAGTCAAGTTGAAGTAGAGGTAATCATCTAGAAAGTGGGCTTTTGTTTATTATTATCAGTTGTTATTTAAGGTGTTGAAGTAGTAGATAAAGGCTTGGTGTTTATTACTTTCTTTACTCAGTTTTTCCCTTAAGGGTTTTCTGAATATTATAACTTTTTTTTTTGTTTTTTAGTTTTTCTTTTCTCCCAAAATTTCAGCATTTTTACTCTTAGTTTTCTTTTAAGGAGCATATTAGAATGTTGATCATTTGGACTGGAGGTTCTTTACTAAAAATTGCTAATTTTTTTATTTAGACCTAAATACAATGGCTTTCAAAATATATCAAAATATATTTAAGGTATTTTTGAAATTAAAATATTAAAATAATATCAAAGTTAATAGTATTATATTATAATAATAAAATAATAATAAAAGCAATAAAAATTTTGTGATATTATTTTGAGTTATTTTTAGACCTAGGTACAATACAATTATAAAATAATAATAAAAGTATAATAAAAATATTTTGATGTATCAAATGTATTTTAGTAGTATTTTAAAATTATTACAAAATCATTTCAAAAAATTGGCCATTTTTAGTAAAGTTTGGTGTTACTTAATTTTTTTAGATTTATATAATATAAAATCAGTCAATTTGGGAAAGCTGATTGGGATTGGTAAATTTTAAAGTTTTTAATTTTTACTAATTCAAGTTGATCAGCAAAAGAATTATTAAAATTAAAAATATTAGAAAACTTAAAAGTATAATTGGTTAGATATGATGTATCTACTTAGAATTAGGTGGGTTATCACAGCCATAATACTTATAAAAAATTCTCATTCTAGAACATACTAATTCTTTATACAATAGCATATCTATTAGTAATTAAAGTTTTAAATAAGAAGTATCAAATCTAGTTATTTATATGCCATTTTACTGATAGGTGGATACTAGTCAAAATAGTCCAATTCAGTCAAATTTCATACAGGCAAATTTGGCCCAAATTATGGCTGAAATCCAGCCAAAATTAACCAAATATTATTACTAAAATTCTTTTTGCATATGTTGCAGTTCAGACTGCCACTTGCCTAGAATTTAGCTTAAATTTTCAGCCAAAATTCAGTTAACATTTGGAATAATTTCAGATAGCAAATTTTGGCCGAATGTTAACTGAATTTATATTGCATAATTCATATTAAATTTCAATTTACATTTATTTATACTGAATTACTAATATTCAGCCATAACTTATTTTATTATTTTATTTAATATTCGCAAAAATCACAACTTTATTTATAAATGCATATTACAAATAAATATTACTAATTTACAATTCCACAATTACATAATTCATGTATTCGTATATATATACTTACGAATTTTAATCTTTTGGAAACCTACTGAAACTATAAAAAAAAAGAACGGTTAGTAACCATTCCATAATATTAAAAAAAAGCAAAAAAACCAAGATTCTACTTACGAATCTTTGGTTTTTTTCTGTTCATCGGAACCCACCTAAAACACCAAACCTATAAAAAAGTAAAAAAAAGAGCAGTTATTAATAACCGTTCATAATAATATTAAAAAAAAATAAAAAATAAACCAAGATTTGTACTTATGAATTTTAGTTCCACTTTTTCTAAAGATCCCAAAACCTACAAAAAGAAAAAACAGTTATTAGTAAACCTAAAGCTCTGAATGGTTCAGTTCAGTTCCATTTTTCAGTTTTTTTCTGAATCCGTTTTGCGCAATAACTCACCATCCAGTAATCGTAAAAACCCGATCTATAGCTCGTTGGAATCGTCTCATCAAGACGGTTCGAATGGTACCAAAGTCATCTTTCTAGCATCGATAGATGGCGAGTTATTTTTTGAAAAATTGGCAAAATTAACTTGCCATCTATCGATGCTAGAAAGATGATTTTGGTCCCATTCAAACCGTCTCGATGAGATGATACTAACGAGCTATAGTTCAGGTTTCTACGATTACTGGATGGTGAGTTATTGCACAACACAGATTCTGACTAATCAGAAAAAAACTGAAAAATGGAACTGAACTGAACCGTTCAGAGCTTTAAGTAAACCGTTTATAGTAATAAAAAATAAAAATAAAAAATAAAAAAAAGAACCAAGATTCGTACTTACTTACAAATCTTGGTTTTTCGTTGTTCTTTGGAAGCCCACTGAACCTAAAAAAATAAATAAGAACGGTTATCAGTAACCATTCGTTAATATTATAAAAATAAAAATAAAAATAAAACCAAGATTCATACTTATGAATCTTGGTTTTTTCTATTCTTCAGAAGATACTGACCTAAAAAAAAAGAAAAAGAACAGTTAGAAACTGTTTGTAATAATAAACAAAAATAAAAAAATAAAGTTTCGTTCTTTGAAAGTCTACTAAACTTAAAAAATAAAGAAAGGAACGGTTATTAATAACCGTTCGTAATAAAGAAAAAACAAAAAAAAAAATATAAAGATTTGTACTTACTAATCTTTATCTTTGGGTTTTCATTCTTCAGAAGCCTACCCAAACCTAAAAAATAAAAAAAGGAATGGTTATTAGTAACCGTTCATTAATAAAATTAAAAAAAACAAAAAAATTAAAACTAAGATTCATATATACTTACAAATCTTAGATTTTTCATTTTTTGAAATTCGGAAGCCCTACCTGAGACGCTAAACCTATAAAAAATAAAAGAAAAAGAACGGTTAATAACCGTTCATAATATTAAAAAAAATAAACCAAATTCTGAACTTATGAAACTTGGTTTTTCCATTTTCAGAAGTCACCTAAACGGTCAAACCTAAAAAAAAAAGAAAAAAGAACGGTTAGTAACTGTTTATATTAAAAAAAAATAAAAAAAAATCTTTAAAGTATTCATACTTATGAATTTTTGGAGTTTCTGTACTTCAGAAGTCCACCCGAAAGCTGAACCTATAAAAAAAAAAAAAAANCCATTTTTTTACCAGTGTAAGTATTTGTACTTACGAATCTTTGGAGTTTCTATACTTCAGAAGCCCACCTGAACGCTGAACCTAAAAAAAAGAAAGAAAAAGGAACAGTTAGTAACCGTTCATATTAAAAAAAAAATAAATAAACTCCAAAGAATTCGTACTTACAAATCTTTGGAATTTCTGTACTTCAGAAGCCTATCCAAAAGCCGAACCTATAAAAAAAAAAAGTAAAAAAAGTGAAAGGAAAAACAAGGAAGGGGAACGAAGGAAGGGAAAGGAAAGGGAAAGAAAAAAAATTAAAAAAAGTTTAAAAAAGGATGTATAAGATGATCCTTTTTTAAACTTTTAATACATATAATGTGTAATGCATAACATTTGATTAACATAATTCAATAAATCAACCATAAATCATATATGTCAAAATTTGGCTGATTTTTAATAATTTCTGAAATTTGGCTGATTTCGACCAGTGGGAATAACCCTGTAGAAATTGTAAAAAATTTAGCCTCTTACTAATTTTTTTTGTTTTTTATTTTTATAATAGTAATATAATTCATTAAAAAATATTTTAATAATCGTACCTTTAAAAATAAATATAACTTGTTTAATTATTTATTTGTATATATACAAATTTATTATTGTCTGGAGTGAAGCGAAGGACTATATATGTTCATGAACCTTAATGACATATTTGGATCACATGGCAAAATCCGTTTGTCCACACGCGTTATTTCTGATTGGTCCACACAGAGTGTGTCATTGAAATTTTGTGCTACATCAAAAAATAAACAAGTGTTTATGATAAACTAGATA